AACCTCTGCTCAGAACAAAAAACTTTTCACTTTATTTAGGCCATCGTTTGAGATGTTCATCTGAGCCTTGGCAGGCTAAAAAAATTATGCAGAGATTATGAATCATAGTTTCAAATCAGTGACAAATGGTAGACCTGCAAGAGCACATTAGTGCATGAAAAAGGACATTCAACATGCAAATGAGGGCATCACATATGCATGTCAGTGGAGGCATGTGTAATTACCCCACATAGGTAGATGTGCAAATGCTAGCTAGTATGCCAGACAAGGAAGCTGCAGGTTCAGTAGGTGCATACACAGATTTGCTGATGCAACTATCATAGCATGGCTGCATATCTGACCAAGTGTACATCCATCCACCCAGGTCTGCTTTGGTACAGTAGCCCAAGCCTTTGTCATGCTGGCAGACTCCTCCTGAGTAAAGCATTATAAGCCTGGGAAAAACACAAACTGATACCATTGAGATAAGGCGTTAGCTTTTACAAAACAGCAGTCTTCCGAAGCGCTGACCCACCATCCAACAGAACCTCCTCCAGAAAGAATCACTAGACACCAATTAACACACATCAAAAAAGGTTTAATATTTTCACAAATACCACTTAACACTAGTATCTTTGCTACTAGTGTGCAAATTAAAAAGACTTCCTACCTTTGCAAAACCAGATAGGCATGCAATTTTCAGGTAGACACAAACTTAAAGCTGCAATTACTGTTTGTAACTCACATGTTACCTTACAACATTCAATCACAGTGCACCATAATGCATACTAAAATGTTATCAACAGCTAGGGCAATCCAAATCTTGGGGGCAAGGTGGAGATGGGGAGAAGAAGCCTGAAAATCTATTTCCTGCAGGGAAAAAGAAAGGACAGAGCAAGCAGAGGCCCCCATTTTTACTAGAAAATGAGGAATTAAAAACAGCAGAAGGTTCTCTTAATTTCTGCAAATCAAAAAATGGGGGACTTGCAAAAGTTATTACAAGCAGACTGTTTTAACTGCTTCTCATTTTAAATAATATACCAGCTATGCAATTATAATGATGGAATAATCAATTTGACACAGAAGATGACACACAATGCACACATAATTGGTAGTGTTCCTTGAGTCCTTGGAATAGCTGGGTCAGCTTTTGGTTTTTGGTTTACGCACAATGGGCCCTCAAAAGACAAAACAAAAGCTCGGCCCTGGTATCTTCCTAGGATCATCTGCTGAGTATTCACGTTTTGAGTAGCTCTTTAATTGCATTTAATTAGGCAAACTTTTTAAAGCTAATTACAGTAAAGTGAGAAACAGAAGTTTACACTTTTGACTGATATTTGGTTCAGCCTGTTCAGCTGCCAAGTCAACAAACTAGCAGGAACAGCAAACCAGCTGTATTAATAAGAGAGAAGAGAAAATATTTTTATAAGAAACGCTGGACTGAAGAATACAGCAAAGTCTGAATAAGGACCACAAATCTACAGATTTCCCACATCCAGAGATTTGGATTACCCCAATCAATCACTTGGTTTTATTTGTAAAGATTTTCTTATTTAAAACAAAACATTTTATACTTGGTAACACGACACTATTCACAGAAGCAATGGGAAATACCAGCGAGACCAGATTTGTGGGACAAAGCTGTTTACTTTTACCTGACAAACACAGATCAAGGAGGCAAATAAATCAGTCCTACTATAGAGTTACGTGAACACACAGTGCTGATACACTGTAAGATTTCCATGGTCATTTAAAATGGAACAACAGGTGGCAGAAATGCAGGCGGGAATTGTTACTTCCACTTCTATAAGCGTACACACCTTAGTTTCATGTTCAGCACATTTGCACGCATTTAACATGGAGGTGGTATCTGCTCTAAGAGAATACATTTCATATGGAGTAACAGCAGTTCTCAGTGTACAGTATTTGACTGTAATTTTAAACAATAATTTTTGACAGCTGCATAAATTATAAACCAATTTTTAGTGACCTACAGATGGGGGAATGTGCCAACAAGATGAAAAAGAAACATGCAGATTGGGAGGCCAGGGATGAGAGATATTATCACCAGCACACACACTATTTTGTATCCTACGTATGTCGTTTACTTGTATTTTTCAATAAAGCAGCAGATTCTGGTTTGGGGTTTTTTTTTGTTTTTTTTCTTTAACCAGTTCAGACTACAGAGTCACTGCTTTATAAGAAAGTGCTCAAAAGGCAGAATTGGGACCAGTGTTGTGGAGCTTAGTTTTGTTCAGCGTCACGAAGTCGGCATCCCACAGCAGTAATGAGAGCTGCCCCTTTCCCACTGCCGTCTTCTGAAAGCAGGAATGTCACATCACACTTTGGAGCCAGATCCTTTACTGTTTGGTGCATTATCTTTGAAAAGCTGTGGAGGAAAGAAATGGGGCTGTAAGCATAACCCAGCACCATCTGTAGGCCCAACATCTGTACAGGAATCTGCCCTGAGCACTGTTCTGGGCCAACGAGATTCAGAACGCTGGCTAAACCCACATAGAGATGAAGAATGATGCTGGGGGATGCAGGTGGCTTGCAGATGTAAGTAACGGTGATACTCATTATAAGCAAAGGAACCAAAGTGGTAACTAACTTGCTCCCACCCCCCTGGCTTCCCATCTGCTTCTCCCTTTGGGGGCAGAAAAGGAGTATAGCTGCCACAACCTGCTACTTCTGAGGTAGAGGGAGGACATTGGTTCCTGTTCTTTCTTTCCTTCCTACCGCCACTAATACAAGATTGAGCTCTGAGGGTGCCTGATTCTTCTTCTCAAAGACTCTGGGAGGCACATGGCACAGCTTCCTTGATCCCTGCAACTGCTGAAGAGTTGTCTTTGGTACCTGAGCAGCTTGCTTCTGCCTCCTACCCCTGGCGCTCTCCTCTTTGATGACAGAACAGGATTATGGGAAGGGGATTCTAGGAGACTAAATTTATGCATCTTTAAAAACAGTCCAGTTCTAGAGCCTAACTTTACTTGTTGTCCAACTTAAGCATGTGTACAACAACAGGTTGGGAATGCACTGGCTTTTACTATTATGTCTGTTTTAGACAGTCTAGATATACTGAACTTTCTGGTCACTAACAGCCTCTCAAAATCACAACATTTTCTAACACAATTCAGCTTCTAGAAATCTGAAATCTACACTAAGCTCCATCACCTCCAAATGCTTTTCCTAATACACAGAGTAGATTTACAGGACTCTGTTTTCAGCCTGTCCCCTACACAGGACCCATGCTTGTAATCTTTCAGGCACCCAGCATGTCTCCAATATCAAATAACTACTTAAAGACTCCATCCATGGAGCAAGGACCATCTTTTCATTAAGATCTGTGTACAAAAGACACGCACGACAGGGCTCCAGTCCTCGAGTGGAATTTAGACACTATGCAATACAACGTTAAATTAACAGCAACAGCAAATAGTTCAGCAATCTGCAGCAGCATATGGGGCAGCAGCAGCAGCCAGGCTGCCAGTAGTGGCAGCCAGACCAGCAGTATGGCAGCTGCTATGTTTGCACCTCTCCCTACCCCACCCCCACCCCACTCCCAGGGTCGGTGCTAGGGAGTGGCACCCTGGTTGCCTCCCCTTAAGTTACATTCCTGCTCACTCTTACGCACAAACTTCCTCCAAAGAAACATTATCAAAACTTGGATGCAAAGTTCTGTCATTTCCATTCAGGAGCCAGGAAAGTGTTACTTTGGTGCCCAAGTTATGGCCTCATTTCCCTCTTATACTTCTGTTCTCAGACAAATAAATGTTATTGCTTTGGTTTGCAGTACTATTGCTAGCTATTTGTACTTCATTGTTCCTATTATATTCTCTCAATTTTCCTTGTGTCATTGTTTTTAGAGCTGTTTCCACTTGCTATTAACTGAAACAGAGACTGGTATCTGATGCTTCAAAGAAAACGAAACCTACAGCAACGTATAGCTTAATGCAAACAATTATGAAAAAAAACAAATACTTACTGCGGATGTAGTTTATACAGAGTCCCATCTACACCAACAGTTATTTCCAGGTGTTCTAATCCTCTGTTCTCCCTTATTTTATCTACAACAGCAGCCATTCCCGCTCCACACAACTGAGCTGCTCTCCGTGATACTGCCCCACACACTGTCTTTACAATTATACTGTCATCACAGGTACTATTCAGACCAAGCTGCTGAAGGATTGCTCGTACCTGAAGCAAAGCTAACCTGTCACTGCAAAGAAAGAAGAACAAGGTGTTTGATCAGATCCCTGAAAAAGACTTCAAACAACATTGTATTTTTTATACTAACTTGTAGTTTTCAGAATGGTATTTATCAGTCTCACAACCACAGTGAGAGTTCACTGAGATAATCAAGTGAGCATTCAAGTGTGTGACTCCTACTTTTGACCTCATTTCTTGCTGCAGTCTAGTACGAATAACTACAGGAAAAAATGTCAAACACAGCAGACAAGGTTCTTTGGGTAAATGTGTTATCTTTTATTAGACCAATTAAATAGTTGGAAAAATTGTTCTTTACAATCTTTTGGGCCCAAAACACCTTTTTTCAGGCATAGGGAGAATCTGCTAGTGTTTGTGTTCTCCTAGATCCCCCCGCCCAGCAGATAAGTCTATGGGGAAGAGGGGGGTCAGATCAAGGCAGAGGGGAAAAAAAGTATTTGGGGTGTGCCCCCCCAGCAGGTAAGTCCCACCTGGCCGGGGCCCCACTCAACTTACCACTGCTCCTGCCTCTGAGGCCTCCACAGTGAGACAGTGCTGCAATCTAGCCCCCTTCCCTTCCCTCCCCCATGGAGCTGACCTGCTGGGCTGGGGCACAGGCATGCATGCAGGCACTCAGCCCCCCACCCCAGCTTCGGATCAACTCCAAGAGGCTCTGAGATCTATCAGTGGATCAAGATCCACTGCTTAGTGACCACTGTACTAGATGGAACAGAAGCCAATACACAAAATTCAGTTCTGTAAAAACGCAAAATGCATGGCAGTGAGGATCAGATGCAATGGGAGACAATAGATGTGAGTCAGCTAGGTGGGGTGGGGAAGAAACTTGACCCTTTATATTGACTGCTTCAGAGATAGAATGAGCAATGAAATAATCAACACATGCTAAAACAATACTGCAGCAGCTTACGCTTGCTGTCAATTCAACAATCTGGATTTTTTTCAGTTCCCTTTCCTTATAATTTGCTATTAAAGGTTTTCGCAAGAAACTAGTTTTTCATAAAAATTTTTATAAAATTTCAGTGTTTTTCTATGAAGCACCAACTGCTCCATGAACTCTCCAAGAAGCTGGTAGAATTAAACCACAAAGATCTCTTGGTGGTTTAATTCCACCAGCTTCTTGGAGAGTTCCACCACCATGGCGGTAAGGCTCTGTGAAGCTTCAGTCAATGATTCAATTCGGAGGAGATCTGGCGGCTGAATCTCAGTATCTGAATCGAATCAGGAGACCCATTAATCTCTTCAAACTGAAATCGGAAGCCTCCAACTCAATTCGGAGAGATTCAAAGATTCGGCAATAGACGCAGCTTTATATGTTTTTTCTACATACCTCGAGGTACCAGGCTTGTGAACACTGAGATGGTGGTGGGGTGGATAGAGCATCCCACAGGAGCGCAAGGGGGCTTCCCTGCATGCTCGGCAGCAGACCCAAAAGTGAACTAGAAATACTTCTGGTCCACTTCCGGGTCCTCTGTGAAGCATGCGGAGGATCTTCTGCCCCCCAGCTCAGCTACTGGTGCCTCCTGGGTCCGGGGGTGGGGTGCACCCGGGGTCCCCCTGCGGCTGATCAGTCCACTTCTCATACTTCTGGATCCGTCACTTGGGGGGGGGTCCAAACTCAGACCCCCTCCAAGGAGAGCCCCGCAAAGCCCTGTCTAAAGCCTGCCCCACCCCAAGTAGAACCAAGGAGCACATGCCCCCCTGTGCCCTCCTAGCACCCAAGTAGCAGTGGGAGCCGCCTCTCCACCCTCACAAGCTATGGCTCTGACCCTCTCCCGCCTAGGCATCGCCTGCCCCTGCCCCCTTTTTCACTGTGGGGGTGTTGATCTGCCTCCCCCATACCCCTTCCACCACACCAGACTTAGCTGCTGAAAGCAGCTCTCCATGCTGCTGGCTGTGTTCCCTGCTGCCTGAGTGCTGCGCTGCAGCTGCACATAGCGCAAGCATTTATCAGCCAAATTATCAGCCCCATCAGGCCAATATCCAATACGGACAATTTTCTTTATATCGGTACCAATCCGATATCAGACTGATGTATTTGTGCACCTCTAATTAAAAACAAAAAACAAAAAACAACACCTTAGAGCTTGTCAGGTAAGCCCCAATCCTGCAAACAATCACATATATCTAACTTTACTCATACGTTATAGGCCACGGAATTCAAGGAGTATACTGGCTTGCTTAAGTTTAAGCAGATACATAAACATTTGAAGGAGTGATGCTTTACAGCTTACAAATTAACATGCGATTCAATAACAAATGACTGCTGAACATTTGCTCAGATGTATGCAAGTAAGGCACAAATGGTATGATCTACTGAAGTTTAATTCTAGAAAAAACAAAATTTGCCAATATTCATAATTCTTTATGAAACTCACAATATAGACACTGTCCACTGAGAAGCAAACAGGATAAGAAACAATGTTCCAACACAGGTCAGCAACCGACAGCCCATGGAGCCACTGAATCTAGCCCATGGTGCTAGAGGCTTCACCCACATCATAAGGCAGCCAGGCAGTAGGGAAAAGTGGCAGCAGGCAGGTGCTAGTACCAGCCCTCTTTGGACCCAAGATCATGCTGGCCCACCATGCAAAAACACTGCTGACCACGGTTTTAAAATGTTTCTTCCCCCTCACCATCACTATTAATGAGACATGGACTATTTCAACTGAAGCAAAGCTATATCTTTTATCACTCTTACCTCTCAATCTGTGAAAGGAACTTAGTTTCAAAGATACTTCTGGTCTTCAGTGTCTCTGAAATTTGACCTCTAAACAAGAATCCCCTTTTAGTGAAATCAATCAAAATATTGCGAACAATCTCTCCAAGGTACATTCCACTAATCATTTTCTCATACCTGGAATTAAAGACAATGTTACAATTCAGAAGAATGGATAATTTTATATACATATACACCATACACACGAAACCTAGTTTAATCAAACCCATACTATTATGTTTATTCTAAGTCCCCTTCTTGAGCTAAGCATTAAAAGAAAAAAAAAATCACTAGAATATTTAATAGCCACCTATCAGTCTGATGCACTGTGTAACATGAATATTCATCTACAAGTATCTAGTCCTCCTTCACCATACTATGCATCCATCCATGGATGGTTGTTGTCCAAAGTAACTGAAGGTCTCTGGAAAGAAGAGCTGCACTGTGATACAGGAGGACTATACTCTCTAAGCCTCTCTAGGTCAGGCCTTTGGAATTTATGCAAATCATGGAAAGACTTACTTCCGTAGTACTGAGCTTGCTAACTCTTTTAGAAGTTTAACTGGAGTTTTAGAACATTAAATAGAGTTGTCTTAAATACTGGCAAGTAATATGGACACCATGCAGTGTCAACAAATGGAGCTCTGTTTCCATAGATGTACACAAGAAACAAAGTATTGCTTAACTCCCTGAAAAGTGCATGAGCAAGAGTAAGAGCTATGTTTACAGGAAGACTCTCGGCCATTACTCAGTGGGTTTGGGGTGAATTAGTTAGGAAACAGGGTCAAGCTGTTACAACGCATCACTGAACAACTGATTTCAATGCCTTAGTTGTACTCAATCTTTTCCATGTGTCCAGCTGTGAAGGAAATACAGACTAAATGCATACAAAAAATCCATCCTGAGCCCAGCATTGTATGCTAGGACCTGAAGTTTCTCATGGGCATGTCTCTAAGTGAAGACTAAGGAGGCCACAATCTGTTCCATTGTACCCATATCCTCTACTAATATTCGTGTTGTTTGTAATGAACAATTCTGACAGACCTTGAAAAGGAAAAGCCAAATCTGTGACTCTTTTGGTATCAATTGATCCTCTTAAATTGGGCATACATGCAGCTAGGTCAGGGTCTGGTGAAATTCAGCTCAGGCTGCTGAAAGAACCAGCTGAAGAAATCTTAGAGTCAGTGGCAATAACATTTACAAAATGATAGATGATACGTGAGGTCACTGTGGACTGAGGACAGGCTAACATACTGCTCATCTTTAAAAAAGGGGAAAAGGCAGGCACAGGGGATTGTAGACTGATTTCAATACCTGAGAAGTTACTGGAGCAGATGTAAAAAGTCAATTTGTAAACACAATCTGGAGAAGGAAAGGGGTGATTACTACATGATTTTTAAGAACCAAATCATGACAAAGCAATTTGATTTCCTACTTTGATAAGATAACAGATTTGGTGGAGGGAGGACACAATATACTTGGACTTTAGTAAGGCTTTTGATACAGTCCCTCCTGGCTTTCTTATAAGTAAACTGCATCTACTGTTAGGTAGATGCATAATTGGCTAAATAACCACAAGCAGGGAGTAACAACTATAAAATGGATCAGCATCAGAACTGCAAGTTTCAAGGTAGGTTCCAAAGGGGTCTGTTCTGGATCTAGTGTTGCCTAACAATTCTTTAACACTTTGGATGCAGGAACAGAGAACATCTGGATCAAGTCTTCAAACTCTCAGGAGGATAGAATTCTAATTCAAAAGGATCTTCAGGAGGTAAAAGAACTGGTCAGTAAAAAACAAAATGAAATCCAACAAAGGTGCTACTTCTAAAGAAAAGCCAAAAGCACAAATATTGAATCAGAGGCATAACAAGCAAGGTTTGCACCCTGTGGGAAGGTGTCCCTGAGAGCTGGAAGAGACAGGGATTCCAGAGGAGTGGGAGATAAGAGGAACAAGAGTCTTACCTATGCTAGTAACTCCAAAACCATCCCCTACTGCTGCATGGTCTGCCTGCCCTAGCCGTTGCTACTACAGAAGTAGCATTGTGTCCATGCATTTGGAGGCTACTCCAAAAGCAATGCTGCGGGGCTGCTTCTCCTGCTAGAGCACAGACTCCACAGGGTTGTGGGCACAATTCCAGTTCCCCTACTAATTTGGCACCCTGGGCTCACCTCCCCGCCCCGCACAACATTACATCATTATACTGAATGGGAAAGGAGATGCTAGACAATAAAGGATCTGAACTTTGGGAGTTCACAGGCACACACAAAGTCAACAAGTTGATGCAACTGCCCAAAAAGTAAATCTGATTTTAGGTTGCTTTACCAGGAGTATAGTATATAAGACACAGAAGATGGTACCATTACTCAGTCCTGGTTAAGCCACAGCCAATGTACTGTGTGCAGTCATGGGCTGCACAATTAAAGAAGGATGTGGAGAAACTGGAGAGGATCCAGGAGGTGAGCAACAAAGATGATAAAGGATTTGGAATGTAGCCATACAGAGAAAAGGTTGAAAAAACTAGTTAAGTTTCATTTGGCAAAAAGGAGATTAAGGGGGACCATAATAGCATTTTTCAAATATCTGAAAGGCTTCCATAAAGGAGAATGATTGTAGGACAGAAAAAATGGGTTTAAGCTGCAGCAAAACAGATCTAAACAAAATCTCAGTAGAATAATGGAACAAGCTGCTCAGGGAAGTCACAGAATCTCCTGTGCTGGAAATTTTCAAGAAAAGGTTGGACTGATATCTGTCTGTGATAATATAAGCTACACTAGATGATACTTGAGAACTCTTCCAACTCTGGGCTTCTACAATATCCTCACTTAATTGTGTGCAATTCAATCTGAGCTACTCAAATGCAAGGTGTTACATGTGTACAAACAGTGCAGTAGTGATATTACTGAAGTTTGTGTTTCCCAATCTCTCCTTGTCCAGCTCCTCAAACTGGATGTCAGTTTGGCACCCAGAGTTGAGCATTAAAATTCCTGATAATTCTCTTGACTATTACCAAGCTGTTAACGTGATCTCTTTCAACCATTTCAGCTACCAGACAATTATCAATGTCTTTGAATTTTGTTCATTCACACTTTATTCTTCTGCAAACCTGTATTTGGTGCACAAAAGCTAGCCGTCAATTCTCAACCTCTCATCAATATTATAAAAGAAAAAAAATGTCAAGTTTAGGTCTCATAACTAAGACTCCTTAAAAAGCTGAGGTTCACCCACACACCTCTTTATTTGCAACATCATTTTTACTCATGAGCCACTCCATTTGGAGACCATGCACTTTTCTAAATGCACATTTCCTCTTATACAATCCGAAATAAATTAAAAACATGCTAGTTTTAATTAATTAAGAAGTACATTTTGTGATGCACTGTCATTAGTGATTTTTAATGAAACTAAATTGAGGTTCTGCTGGCCCCCCAATACAATCTGAGTACAAAGTAACATTTCACATTGGAAGCTGGCCATAGAATCCATTTAAGTCTGTGAACTGTAGCATGTTTGTACCCTATAAATGTCCTTTTCCTGAAGTGCCCATCTTCTCTTTTATATAATATGCTTCTGGTTGCAATTTCCATTACTTAGGATGGCAGTTTATTCCACCATCACAGCAAAGTTTCTCCATATGGGAGGGGCTCCAATCTGTGCCTTCACATTTTAGAAGTTTTCACGTAGTCCCTCTGATGTCTCGCACTCTAAACATCTTTATACATAGTCTATTTATGTTACACAAACCTGTTTATTACACTCATAGTCATGGAATCAAAGTATTTCTATACACAATTTTGAAAGCATAACATCTAGCAAATTGCCCAAAACAAAAATAAATCTCAACTAATTAAAGGCACCTTAGCAGGGCTCCAGAAGTTGTCACTAAAACCCTGATACATTTAAATTGGTAGCAAGTAAGAGACCAGTGCAGAGTTCTGAACATATGTTCTACGCTTCTAACCTCATTGCCAAAGCCAGCAGCTGCATTTTCAGGTGGTCTTTAAAAAGGCAGCCACTCCCAAGCAAAGTGCATTGCCTGAAGGTGACAAACACATGGATGACCAAAGCAGAGATCATACTAGAGAAAAAAGGTCACAACCACTTTACCCAAGGATGGAAGGAAAAGGTCACCCACCTGGGAACCACAAACATGGACTGTCCAAGAAGAAAGTGAAGACACTGCATTGGAGACCTGCACTGGCTGAGCCACTGATGCACATGTCCCAGCCACCCTCATACTCCCACAGGCATGCTCCAAAACCAGAAATTAATCAGTGAAGCACTCCAGGCCACCTCTCTGTAGCCAGTCCCAAGACCTCAATGTCCAGAATGCTTGAGAGCAAGTGCCTGAGAGAAGGATCCTGGAGTGGCTTTGCCAATGGTCCCAGGTTTAAAGTATACCTATGTGAACAGGTAGACAGGGTTTGCTGAGAGCCCATCTGGGTTGGGGCACCCATCCACTGTGATGCAGAAGACATGCCCTAAGGCCCTTTTAATTCATCCTTCTCTTAATAAAGAAAAGCTTAAATTACACTGCCTTAAAAGAACAACTTGGCCAAGATAATTTATTCTTAGCCCAACACTATCCCATAAACCTGTGCATATTTTCTGCAGTAGCTCAATATAAAATACCTTTGTTTTCCAGCATTTAATGAATAATCATCAACAGCTTTGTCATAAATTGTCCTGATGTCATCCAGGCATCCGTTGTCTCCAAATGCACCCCATTCCATGTTCACACACATTCTTCCTTGATCTCCCTCCACCATCTCTATATTCCTCATTTCCTCCATGTAACATGCATTGCTGCCAGTTCCTGAAGTGAATAAATTGTTTTTTAAATGCCAGAGAACAAGTTTTAGAGCTTTTTACCTGCATTTAATATGAAACAAACTCATTTCATAATGTAACGATATCTTTTCAACATTTGTAAATGGATGGAGCTATTTTCTACTCTTCCTAGCAAAACAAGGAGTGGGGGATGTTCCCCATGCAGTGCCTGGAGGAACTGCAGAGGATAATGTCAAAAGGAGGCATGGTACAGCACACACTAGGGACTTGCCAAAGGATGGACCATGGGCTTTTCAAGCCCAACTGAGAGACTGTGTCTGTGATTATTTTTTTCCAAACAATGGAAGCAGCACAGCATCTAAACACTCGCATACAATAAGACAAAAACTTGAAGTGTGTTCTCCCACTTTTAGCCTCACTGCATTCTTGTAATTTATCAATCATCCTTTCTTTTCTATTGATTATTGAATATTTTGGAAGAAGAACTGTAAAAAAGAAAAGAAAGGAAGAAGGTACTTCCAAAAAGCACATGCAACAAATTCTTGCCACATACAAGATGGGTAGCTCCCCTATTCACACACAGTTCCACTTTTCAGAGATCCCCACCCATAAAAAGTACCTTGTAACTGCAAACCTCATTAGCTTTCTTTTGAAACAAAATCAGATCTGCACCAAAAGGAAAACTGAGAAGTTGTGTCAGTATTAAAACGCAAAGTATGTCTTTCCATTTTTAATTCTGGAATCCACATATGCAACTGCAAATCTCAGTTATATTAATTTGTGCAGAACTCTCACTAGTTCACCCTAATACCTGAAACTATTACAGATTATGACATTAAGTATTAGAAAGCAAAAATTAAAAAACACTCAATAAAAGTCAATGTCATTGCACCATGATATAAGCTTTAGTGCTCTTTTAGCAAGTACAGTTTATTTTTATTTACTATAATACTTTACCACATGCACTAATCAATCTCCTTTTTATACTCTGTAAAGATAATGAGAAGGCCTAAATGCATTTCTTCCTCTCTTCTGAGCAGTAGGAACAGGCCACAGTGTTTTCAGAGAACTACTAAAATTTGTACAGTAATGACCTGAGAACAAGGAAGTTCCACTATACTAGAAAAGAAGGTTCAGCACACAAGCCATATGTAAGGATTTACACCAATGAAATCGGATACTTGGCCATTTTTCATACTTCTGTAGTTTTATTTTAAACATTTTAAAGTCCATTTTACTGTTCAGTACAAAATGACTTGGACTGAAAAACCATTCTAAGGGGCTAAAGGGGGTGTATGAATACAGAACACAGATGGAACCAGTAAATCACATTATGTTAACAGTCTGCCCAAACCCTTGCATAGCAATTCTAGCCCCCTACCAGCCAATAATCACATCCTGCATTCCTGAGGAAGCTCCCAGAGAAGCTAGGTAGAAGCCAACTGTAAGTCTGTAATCACCTGAAGATAGTATTTTAGATCTAGTACAATCTGAACTCAGGCCAAGACAAGCAATGGAAACAGATTTAGTAGCACAGCTGGACAGTTTCCTACTGTTAATGGATAGTGGGCATCCATTTAAATCTAATCTGCTGGAACTTCTGTAGAGCTCAACAGAGTAGACAAGAAGGTATCAAACTGGACCAGCCCCCCACACCCACAGCCAGGCTGCAGGACTCCTCATGGACTGGATATGGACCCAGCAGCAGCAATGAAGTGAACGGTGGTGGCAGCACAGGAGTTCCTGCAGCTGTTGCTTGCTCCCACCCTGCTGCCATGCATCTCCACCAGGGCTTCATACTTAAGAATTCAGCAGCAAGTGTTCCCGCTCACCACAACCCTGAATTATGTGCTGTTCCCGCTCACCATGGCCCACTAGGAGCCCCATGGGCTGGGTGAAACAGCTCCATGGACCAAGTTATTGACACATCTGCAGCAGACCATAGAATGCAGAAGTCCTGAGATAGGAGGCAGAGGTCCAGCTCAGTGCACTAATTTTGCCCAAGTTCTTCCTGGAGACATAAGTAGAATGGGGAAACTGCATCTCCACTATTCAACCCCTCATTTATGAAGTCCCATCAGGATCACCCATTCCATGCGACAGCTGCATGCAGTCACTGCGTGAAGTAATCAAAAGGGTATGGACTCAAGTGCCAACAATAAACTACTGACCTACAGCTCTATCTATCCTTCACCACATGCAACCATCAAGATGGCCAAGAGTCTGGACAGGGAAAAAACCTTTATAATCCAAATACAATTTGATTAAGTCAAAATATTAACAACATTAACAACCATAATATATAACATATATGATTCTCTTCAACAACACATCAGATCTTTACAAAAGAGGCCAGTATCATTTGCTCAGTTTTACAAACAGGCAAACAGAGTAAGTCTATAGTGTTGTCGCTAATGAAACTGCAATGTCATGTAGTGTAGGGCAGAGTAGTGTATCTGAGCTAGCTTGGGTATAGGAATAGTCAGTGTGAAGAATAGGAGAGTCAGAATAGGAGAGTGGCAGCAAGGAACTTAGAGCAGGATGTCTGCCCATGCATCTACCCAACTTCTACAGCAGCTTGTATAGCCTGTGGTGCCATAGCTGGACTGCTACTAGTATCAGTACTGATACCCAATATTTAAAGCCACTGCAGTCACAGCAACAGACCTACCCTGAGATGCAAAAAATTGATCTGCCCATTGTCTCCCAGCAGGCCAATGACAGAAGCAGGCCAAGATCCAGCCCAGCACTTTACCCACTAGGTCACACTAATTCTGCCCTAAAGATACAATACAACTTTAGAACCTTAATGGGTCTCAAAAACAGGATCTGTTTCAGATGATTGAATAAACTTTGTATTATCTTGGCCCTTCTATGGCAGCAGTTTAGGCCCAAGGAAAGCCTATCACAAGTCTATGAGCCCCATCATTACTTAAATTAATTAAAATTCAAGTTTTTCAAAAAAACAGCTTTGTCCCAGGTTAAAAGGGCCACACTTGCAATAGGGCCCCCAACTACTTGGAAATTCTGTGCACTGCAACACTTTGTAGCCAGACTGTATCTGGCAAGATCACAAATGACAGTCAAACAGACTTTTAACACTCCAAGGACATGCTACCCCTTTCTCCTGGCAATCTTGTCCTCCAACCTAGATCATGGTTTGGAGCTTAGATACAACTTTGCACTCAGACTGTGGAACCCAAACTAATTTTTGATTTTTTTGCCAAATCCCGAGTGTAAAATATCTGGAATTTTAACATAAATTTTCATTACAATGAGATTCAGTTTTGCAATTTAAAAAAAAAATTATGTGTAGGCTTGCAACTGCCATTTCCCTCTATCTGGGAAAATCTTTTTGACATCTGGCCTTCTATATATCCAAGGTGCAGGTGCAAATAAAGTGCTTTTGGACTTTGCATACCTCCACTTACAACCCTAAGGTAGCATTTCTTAGTCCTACTGGCACTGCTAGCATCTCCTGTGGAACTATTTCAGCTGTTGTACTGCTTGCATGAGAGGCACAGTGTGCTGAACGTTATTTACTCAAGCTGCATAATATGTACCTCCTGGAAACTGGTATACTTTGTTTAACAAGTTTATTCTTGGCAGACCACATAAACCAAGCAAGTGGCAGGCCATCCCAGTAGTGTATCAGGGATACATGTTATTAAATAAGCTAAACAGTACAGAGCTGATAATTGTGTGTACCCAGTTTCATTCATTCTGAGAAAAAGAATAATTTTGAGCTAATATAGCTAGGACCTGTTTAGATTTCTCAGGTTTTTAATATTAAACAGAGAACTAAAATCATATTAATGAATAAGGTAAGAAAAAACAAACATTTACTGATTTTTATTCTTAGCTTATAAGAATTGTCCAACGGGGGCCATCTATTCATCTACCACTATTTCACCTTTGCTTTCTGCATTAACATAAAATTGAAAAAACAGTAAAGGGGGGGAAAAAGCATGTTTTCCCATTAATAACATATATTCAAATCTAACTTTTAGAGTTGTTGACTGAATCAACTGACACTTCTCACCTGAAATTATTATTCCTATTTATCACACAAAATTAGTCAGACTTGAAATAACTCCACAAAAATGAGCAAGGCTTGTTAACTATATGAATTAGATGAAACACAAATTACACATCCTAACTGCATTAACTCAACATTATATGCGTTTGTTTATAAGATGGTACATATCTGAAATCAATATAAAATATACAAATATAAAACAACTCTAATACATACCCACAATAAGTCCAATCTCACAGTTTGGATCTTCATAAGCACAAGTCATCATAGTGCCAACTGTATCATTGACCACTGCAACAACATCCAAGTCAAACTCCTTTAAAGAAAAAACAGTAATTTTTCAGAATAAATATTGCTTTGCTTGCAATATATCATGCCAGTGCTTACAAGGCTGAAAAGAATTAGCCACCTATCTGTCTAAAATGCACTTAGTTTAAATGCACATAAACAGTTTAGACCAGAGGTGCTCAACCTCCAGCCTGTGGGCCAAATTTAGCCTGTGGAGCCATCGCATCTGGCCCATGAGGCTCCCCACAGGTCAGGGTATTTGGTAGGGGAGAGTGGTGCCCATTCATACGGCCTCCCTCCCCCCTGCCAAATCCCCAAACCACAATCCCTGTGCAGCTGGTTGGAGCCAAGCTATGTTCCCTTCACTTGCAGGGCCAAGCAAAGCATGCTTTCCTCACCCTACCACACACATTTGGATAAGGGCTGTGTGGCAGAAAGCCACCTTGGTTTCTCCCCAAAAATCTCTGCCCTGTGACATTGCGATTTAAATCTCTGTGCTGTGACCATTCAATTAGGATGGGCCCAGCACACAGGGGACCACACCCTCAGCCTGTCTCTTTAGGGAACTTGAGCTGGCTGCATTCCTGAGGGAGGGGGGAAACCTGCTCCCTCTGC